AACATGTTCCCCCAGCCTCCCTTCGATTGTACCCATTACCTTCCTGTTTTGGGGTGACGATCACAGTAAAAGAAGGTTTATTATTCAAGTAGTATGCAGGCCAAGAGGATAATCTTCCCAGGCTCTCTGTTTTAACCAGGCAGCATAGCAGCATGTTGAGTGGTCTCGACAGTTGGATGGTAAGAAGGGTCAGCAATTTTGTAATGTTTGTGGCATGTATTAAATTCAACGCTTTCTTAAATGAGTTAGATCAACACATTCGCTTGGAAAGCATGAACGCGGCAAAAGTTAGGTGGCAGACAGAGCTAGTTGAAGCAGTTGGTGATACGCAAAATATAAAAAAACTAGGCACAGTCAATTTTGCCAAGAGACACTAATGTCAAAATACGGGCATTTTCTTTTAACTCGACCTTGTACATATAAGCGAAAAAGTGTTCGCCTATGATGTGGGAGAAGGAAAGGAAAATGTGGGGTAAAAGTACTCCAACCCTGAATCCAAATGTCTGAGTTCCCGCTCCGTCCAGACCACCTGAGAGCAAAATATTCAGGAGTCGCCAGATGAGTTCAAAGAAAAGCGAATTGCCTACAGTTCCTCGGGTAAGTGACGAGATAGTACGCGAGGTAAAGTGGATCACTATCGCCTAGTTGGTGAGAAGCGGGGAGCGGTTTGGTACGAACCGATAATCCCACCGCTATCTGACCGCGCAGCGGGGGGAGGGGGAGGGGACCTGGCGTCAACAAATTGGCCGGAGGTCGGCGGTTCCAGCCAGCTACTGGAAATTTCTTGTCTTCGGACATCTCAACAGCTACTCCTGACGCCGGAAGTGTTCGGCGACGGGCGTCCTGCTGACGGCGAGTGTGCGATACGGACCGCCGCACTGTGTCGGCGCAGTGTGTGACGTCGCCTGACCGTTGTGCTGTGTGACGGCCCGAGCGTAGTGTTGATGACCCCTGCCTGCGACAGGCGTATGCGCGCGCCATGGACTCGATGGCGCGTCTCAACCGCATCACAGCCAGGCTGATGCACAAGTACAACGCGCACGGCGCCACAGACGTGACGGGCTTCGGCCTGCTGGGCCACGCCCAGAACCTGGCGCGCAATCAGAAGAACGCGGTGTCCTTCGTCATCCACAACCTGCCTGTCATCGCCAAGATGGGTGCCGTGGCCAAGGCCTGCGGCAACATGTTCCAGCTGCTGCAGGGCAACTCGGCGGAGACCTCCGGTATGGCGGGGCTCGGTCGGCGGCGTTATCGAATGACACTGGGAATTGCACGGTCGGCACGCTTACCGACTGCGAAGCACCGGTCGTGGCGATTTGACTGGCATGCGATCGGTAGTCCACGGGATTACTTGTGCCTTGTTCAGCGAAGTAAGGTGTAATCTGAACATAAGCTGTGAAGCAGGCAGGACGCATGAGTAGCAGATCATCCGTCACATCGGCTTATGTGGTCCATGCCATTTGAACGATCAGGAATTGCGTGTGGGGCAAAGCCCTTTGTGTTACGCATTTCGTCAGGTGACCCTACTGATCTGATCATTTAACGGCCTCCACGGTGTCATTGGGGGGGGGGGGGGGGGAATCTGATCAGCTGGAACACAAGAGGAGGACCACGTCCCCGCTTGGGCGTCAAGCGTCGGAGCCGCCGGTGGACGCCAGCCGAGCGGACGCGCTATAACCGCCGCTGGACGTGCCCACAGGCGGCCTGCTGATCTGTCTGCCCCGGGAGCAGGCGGCCGCCTACTGCAAGACATCGAGAAGACCGAAGGCTACCAGGCCTGGATCATAGGCATCGTGGAGAAGGGCAACCGTACGGCGCGCATCATCGACAAGCCGCGGCTGATCGAGGTGCCGGCGAAGGAGAAGGACGGCGAGCTGTGGTGAGCGACCGACCGGGGAGGGCGCCCGGTCGCGCCGCCGCCCCCGGCCTCTATGAGCGTCGCGTGGGCAAACCGTGGGCTCGGTGCCGCGTGGTCGAGGCCTGGCCGGAGGCGGCGAGCCCGGACCAGCCGCTCCTCCTCTGGCGGCGCCGCGCAGTGTGTCCGCCTGTCGCAGGACGGACCCAATACACCATTACCTGTGAAAGATGAGGTGTTTCGACTGCCATCGTTGAATGAGAAAGTCTGCGGAGACTTCTGCTGAGAGGACGGAGACATCAGAATCCTCGGATCACGGCAAGTGGGAGTTGAACGACTCGTGAGCTTCAGCTTCGCTTTCAGGCAAACGTTGATATCCGTGATTGATGCAGTCGTACGGGTAAGTATATACGACGTAGTACATGCAGGGTGCGCAGCCGCGGCTGCACTAGCACTGGCTGACGGCGAAAACAAAGTACGTCGAATTGCCATTAACCTATGGGATGGGTGCATTAGTCTAGGCACGGGCCACCAGATGGCGAACACACGCCAGATGCTCAGATAGTATGGTAGGTGAGCCAAGGCGAGTCGATCGTCAAGTGGTAGACGTGAGCCAGCCAAGTCCTCAAACGCGCATGATTTGGATTTGCCAATACAAGAGTGCAAATGCGACAGTTAGCTTGACGCGAATGCTGGATGATGTACAAAATATGCAATGGGTTGAGCACGGTGATGCACGTGCGCCTCTGAGTGCATCCACCCATGAGGACGTCCACCCCTGAGACGTCCGCTCCTGACGCGCCCGTTCCTGTTCAACAGCCGACGGGCATATTGCTGCAGTTGGAACTGTGGACATTTCGTGAAACGTGTGTATGTGATATTGAGTGCCAACGGGGTGATGCCGCCCACTCCGGACGCTGTATCAATGCTATGGCTGTCCGCGGCAGCCTTTCAATATTAGGTATGCCTCATAGCGTTTTTTATAACACTAGTCGGCCTGGGATGACCCTGGCGGTAAAGCTGAAGGCTTTCCGCAGTTTTCGAATGTTCGAACGACGCACTACCTTAGGCTTGGACACGGTAACGTACGTGGGACAGGAGCAAGGCATCAGTGGTTCAAGTAACCCGGTTAGAAGAAGTGCGTGCTTATTATTTAGAATGGTTATAAGGATGTCAACCCCTTTGTTTGCCACCTGATAATGTGTCGGCTGTATGACACAATGGATCCATTACGAACCTGAGGTTTTGCGCAGCTGAACACTAACACGTGATCCACACTACAGCCGGATACTCTCTGGTTTGGTTGAGCTGTCAGCGGTCGTCACACAATAACGTCTCGGTTTTGGCGGTATTTACCATCACCCCGCGCTGCAAAAACCACGTGCGCGCCACGTCCAGCACTGATAAGTGACTGCCACATCTTTGCTACACTGACTCGAGGGCCTGTAGTGGCCAGCTGCGCGTCATTAGTTTACCGGACTATTGTGAGCGCATGAGAGGTGGGTGGTCTCATGAGTGTAGTAGTGTAATGGTTAGCGCGTCTGCGCTGAATGCTGCGCGTCTTGGAAACAGGAGGCGCGGGGTTCGCTACCCCGCGGTGCCCGCTTTTCCTGCCTGGATGAGACGCGGGCGACACAATAGAGCCGCAGCAGCTGAGTGCGTCGAAAAGCCCCAATGACGATGGCGACGAAGGGCTACTGGCACACGGAAGCCTTATATGTGCTATAAAACACGCGATATCGATGCTGAAGATGCATAGCGATGGCTCGAGAAAACACCCTTTGATCGCTTCTGACAGCGTCTGGTGAACCCTCACACGCTGCATGTGTCCCTCCAGGTGGCTTTGGATCCATCCTGTGGGTATTTGAAGCTGCCGTAGCTTTGATAGCAATATCGAGTGGTCCACGAATTCAAACAGCTGCTCAAGTTGATCGAATTCCAAAGGGTCACTTCTGATCGGCCCATGACCCGTAACACCTCACGGGAGATCAATAAAAGTGCATTACAAGTTGAGTGATTTTCCATGAAGCCGTACTGGTCAGAACTGAAAAATGATGGTGTGTGAGCTAAAGATGAGCAGACGATAAACCATTTGATCGACTATTTTACAGATGCCTTGTAGAAAGTGGCCGAAAATTTCAGGCTTTTAATGGATCGTGCTTGTAAATGGGAATCACACTGGCGCACTTCCAAGAGGAGTGCAACGCTTCCGTGACAGAAACTAGTGTTGTTAATATGAAGCAAGACGTCTCGGAGGCCAAATTTCAAGGTTTTCACAGGAATGCCACTCTCCATGCTGGAGTGGTTGCTTAACTCAGATGATAAAATCCGCCACAGCTGTCCCAGAGGCAGCAGCGGCAAACGGCACCTGATGATCAATTACCATAAATCAGTTAATTGCGGCAGCCAAGTAATAATTTTCATTACAACTCTCAAAGTGTGCCAGCGTGTGCCTCCACAAGCGTTGAGGGAGGCCCCGATGGGACGCGCGAAGACCTGCCCGCGACGTGACAGGTGACGCGGAAGGACCTGCTCGCGACGTGACAGGTGACGCGGAAAGACCTGCCCGCGACGCGACAAGTGACGCGGGAAGACCTGCCCGCGACGCGATAAGTGACGCGGAAGGACCTGCCCGCGACGTGACGAGTGACGCGGAAGGACCTGCCCGCGACGTGACAAGTGACGCGGAAGGACCTGCCCGCGACGTGACGAGTGACGCGGAAGGACCTGCCCGCGACGTGACGAGTGACGCGGAAGGACCTGCCCGCGACGTGACAAGTGACGCGAGCGGGGCTGGCCCGCGCGGGGTCGTCACTGTGTCTTAATTCGGTCGCCGTCGGACCCTTCGTTAGTGCATGTGAGCCCATTCTCGCTGAGTAAGAGAAATACTGGTGGCTGGCTGACAGGTATAGGGCATCGCTCGTGCAAACACTACGTCAGATGAATCACAATATAAAACGGCAACAAGTTGGCTCGGTCAGCAAACTCACCTTATTGAGGTTTTCACCAACTGCGTATACTCTTAAGTCATACACGTTTGTTCGCTCATATGCCCCGTTTACATGCAGCATGGTTAAATGACCGATATGGTCCTGGGGATGCCTCAGTCGTCTTTATCAGCCCCGAGCTAGGTTCGCTGCGCTGATCACTTCCGAATGCGAGCCGTCCAGTGTGACCTGTACTGGCCCTCGACCTGGCTGTGGCTCCTGCTCCGTTTCTTCTCCGGTCGCTTGTTGCGGTCTTGCTCGCGCTGGTCTGCGACCTGCCGGCGTTCCTCCCGGGACCCGCCCGCCTTGCTGCTTTTGTGGCGCTGGGCCCGACTGGACGCCGACATCGGCCCGTCTGGCGCCATGCGCCGGGGCGACACCACCTCCACAAAACCGTCGCCCGTCTGCGCGCGATGCGTTCGGCTCGCTGCGCGGCGCGCTGATGGCGCGCCGGATGCGCTCCGCCGCTGCTTCGACTGCGGCGCGTCCCCTGCCGCGCGCTCCCGCTGCGAGCCGGCCGAGGTGGCCGCCGGCCGGCCGCGACGCGGGCTGTCCTCGCCGGTGTTCTTGAGGATGCCGGCCGGCGACGGCGACTTGTGCCGCCTCGCCGCGCCGGAGCCGCGCCGGCCCGGCTCCGGGCTGGCGCTGCGCGCCGTGACGTAGCTGGCGCTGCGGGCGGCCGCCGCCGGCGGCGCAGCTCCGCCCGACCGCCGACGCGCGCCGCCGGCCGACGCCGACTGGCCGCTTCGCGGCGTGGACTGCTGACGGCTCGCGCCGCGCTGAGCCGAGGACGACTGACGGCTTTGACTGCGCTGGCCGGAGGAGGACTGTTGACCAGCGCTTCGATGCAGTTGCAGTGGACTGACGACTCGGGCTGCGTGCTGCGGACTCCTGACGAATGGAACTACGGACCGTCGGTATCTTGTAGTTTGAGCTGTGCGCTGCCGACGGCTGACGATCAGGTCTGCGTGCTGTTGGTGCCTTGCGACCTAGGCTTATGCGCCGCCGGTGCTCGTGTCGTCCTCCGTTTGCGTTGCGGGGACGGGCTGCGGGAGGTGCTGGAGGAGGACGGCCGTCGCGACCGGGCCGAGGGCTGACTCCTGAGAGAGCTGCGGCTGCCGGGACGGCCCTGCACCGGAGATGTCAGTCTGGTCCGCTGCCGGGCCCGCTCCACGATAAACGTGTCGTCCTCGTCACTACCGAAAGCAAAGGAAGCAGCCCGCTGTCAGTGAGCTTCAGCGTAACACCCATTTAAAGCATTCAGTGCGTCGGTCGGTAGTGATCGCCAAGCTGATCCTGGGGGGGGGGGGGGGGGGGGGAAGGGAGACCGATGGGTCGTGGATGAAGCAATCGAACCTAACAACCGCCAGGAAGGGCCACGCAAAGCCCCAACGGAGGCGATGGTCCCTGCCCCGCGCCCTCAGTGGAAGTTCTCCTGGATCTCACTCGGCGGTGTCATACAGAGAAAAACATTACCTAGCATCCCTTTTGAGAGAAAATGTGACGTAGGTGAGTACTCAGCACATCAAACGGACTCGACAGCTGGGGATCGTGACGACCTTCAGGGCGTGTTCGGGTCTGGCGGGCTCCCGACGCCCGGGTGGCACGCACCAGACGTAGACGGCCGGGCGCCTGAAGCGGTTTCTGACGGCGCGCAGGCGCTGATCCAGTGCGCTGCCCACCGAGGTCTGCTCGCCGCCTTCCGTGTGCAACACCTCCTTCAGCGATCGGTTCATTGGCTAACGACCGGAGAAGGACAATATTGGCAACGCACAACGGAAAGGCGTGGAATGGTGATGGTGGTGCGCTATCAAAAGCGATCACATGTTACATTTATAACTTCGAGATCGGAAAATGGATTGGTGCCACTGCTGATCAAAACATATTTCGGTGTTTCATAGTATCAAAACGAAATGCTACGTAGTCATTTTTAGATGGAAAAACCAAGGCATCTGAAAGCGATAATTCGGTGCAAGAATGCTCTTTCCAGACAGTCCACAGTGATTATGACGTGGTCGCGACAAGCCATTTCCGGGAAAACGCTTGCGTGAAAGCTTGTTTTCACTATTGCGGCACAACTACTGAACCTTTTTGCATGCGGAGCCGATATCCAGCCTCCCCTCTCCCCCTCTTCCAGCCCCGCTGACACCATCTTAGAAACTTCTCCATTCAAGGCGAGGAAGTTATGCAAACTTGTTGACTCAATTTTGCACACCATGTTTAGCTTTGGGCGCCAAAAATGACCGTCCGGGACAGGTCCAGTTTTGATTCGTCAGAGTCAGGTGTTCTCCGATCGTGCTGCTCTCTAATCAGTGTTTTGCAGGATTGCTTTTCCTAGCCAAAAGTCGATGTCGGAAGTACGTCTTCATGTTATCAAATGGGAAATAGGTCCCCATAGTGACCATGGGTATGTGACCAGCACCGAGACCAGCGTGTATGCATAGCATGGTACAATCATAACTTAATGCTGGTCTCGGTGCATACATCCAATCCGCATTTCTACGTGTCCTCCTTTTTGTAACCGCGTACAGACCACAAGCAGCTACACGGATAATAGTGAGACTCCCACAAATTACCGAGTCCACGTTCGGGACGTCCCACGATCCAAATTCACAGCTGTCCACCATGGAGAGCGGCTCCAGTACGTGCAAAGACGGGGGTAGCAGTTGGTGGACAGAGATACAAATATCGCAAATCATTTTTAGTGATGCGGAGCCTTTCACGGTCTACAAATTCTTAGTGATACATATTTCTGAAATGGAAGGAATAATCAGTGTTTGAACTGTGCGGTCGGAAGAAAACCGTGCGTAATCAAAAGAACTTATGATCACTTATAAGGTCTTTGATTCCGTGGTCATAGCCCTGTGATCACGAGTGATCATAGGGCTTATGATCACCCGCGGTCATGAGCCAACTTGAAACGTCGAGTGCTGTCGATGTCCCCTATGTTTGCACTATGACTTCGTTTAGCCAGTACCGCCTGGTATACTGAAGGTCGGACAACTCCGCCTGGTATACTGAAGGTCGACAACTCAACAATAATGTTTTAGATAAGATTTACAATGATTTAAACCATGCTTTAGGGCACGCAAGCGCGCCCACTGCCGGATGAAAAGCCAAGAGCTTTGAACGCGTGACGCGGTCAATCTTTGTGACGACCCACGGCAGAAATTCGGCCGTGACCGTGCGAAACTAGTTTTGGTCATCGTCAGTGCGTGCTACTACTGACGCGTATGCTGACCTTCTCCGCAACCGGCCACCGCGCATTCCCGTATAACCCCGTCCGCCGGCGCTCCAGCTGCTTTAGGTCATATGGCGATATGTGTGTGTGTGTGTGTGTGTGTGTGTGTGTGTGTGTGTGTGTGTGTGTGTGTGTGTGTGTGTGTGGTGTGTGTGTGTGTGTGTGTGTGTGTGTGTGTGTGTGGTGTGTGTGTGTGTGTGTGTGTGTGTGTGTGTGTGTGTGTGTGTGTGTGTGTGTGTGTGTGTGTGTGTGTGTGTGTGTGTGTGTGTGTGTGTGTGTGTGTGTGTGTGTGTGTGTGTGTGTGTGTGTGTGTGTGTGTGTGTGTGTGTGTGTGTGTGTGTGTGTGTGTGTGTGTGTGTGTGTGTGTGTGTGTGTGTGTGTGTGTGTGTGTGTGTGTGTGTGTGTGTGTGTGTGTGTGTGTGTGTGTGTGTGTGTGTGTGTGTGTGTGTGTGTGTGTGTGTGTGTGTGTGGTGTGTGTGTGTGTGTGTGTGTGTGTGTGTGTGTGTGTGTGTGTGTGTGTGTGTGTGTGTGTGTGTGTGTGTGTGTGGTGTGTGTGTGTGTGTGTGTGTGGTGTGTGTGTGTGTGTGTGTGTGTGTGTGTGTGTGTGTGTGTGTGTGTGTGTGTGTGTGTGTGTGTGTGTGTGGTGTGTGTGTGTGTGTGTGTGTGTGTGTGTGTGTGTGTGTGTGTGTGTGTGGTGTGTGTGTGTGTGTGTGTGTGTGTGTGTGTGTGTGTGTGTGTGTGTGTGTGTGTGTGTGTGTGTGTGTGTGTGTGTGTGTGTGTGTGTGTGTGTGTGTGTGTGTGTGTGTGTGTGTGTGTGTGTGTGTGTGTGTGTGTGTGTGTGTGTGTGTGTGTGTGTGTGTGTGTGTGTGTGTGTGTGTGTGTGTGTGTGTGTGTGTGTGTGGTGTGTGTGTGTGTGTGTGTGTGTGTGTGTGTGTGTGTGTGTGTGTGTGTGTGTGTGTGTGTGTGTGTGTGTGTGTGTGTGTGTGTGTGTGTGTGTGTGTGTGTGTGTGTGTGTGTGTGTGTGTGTGTGTGTGTGTGTGTGTGTGACGTAGACCGGCTCCAATACCAATGAGATCAGCTAAGCATGAAATTACATGTTCGAAGCGAACCGGTAGCGAAATGCGTGACAGCACCAAAAAATCGCTGACATCTCCCAAGCTCATCATGCTGTTGCCACCGTGCTTTTCGTCACAATACTGTCTCAACCATCTGCGGATGCGTCACCTTCTTGGCCCTGAACTTGTCGATGACCATCTGGGCCTGCACGCGGACCCAGTGGTCGCTGACGGCGATGCGCGTCGGGTCCTCCATGGTGGCCGGGTCCTCGGCCTCGATGATGCGGCGCGCCTTCTCATGACTGCATAGTCTCGTCACGCGACGCTGCCAGACCCTGGCAAGGCGGCCAGATGGGGCACGGGTCAGGTTACCCCAGCCAGCAGGGCGCACTGAACGGCGCGACGCCGAGAGGCAAGGACCCAGCACAGCTTCTTTTCAGCCGACGCATCAACGGACAGCTGGGATCTGGAAGTCGTCAAGAAAGCTGCTGAGAAGTTAAGGTTTTGACTGTAAAACTAGATTCAGATGGACAACTGTACAAGCCACCCATTCCGGGCTTTAGTCAGTAACATTAACAAGTTCCTGTTGAAAAGTTTCGCGACATTGGAATTGACCGTAATCATTTCGGAGAAGTTAAAACAAGCACGTCAACAACTAGCGCAGCGCCATAAGCATTACACTTTGTTCTACGCGTCAGTTCAGATGGAGTGCGCGGTCGCATTTGAACAGAGATAGGAAAGCATGCGGTGAATGACATCCTTGAAAAACTTGCAGTGCATTGATGCGTCGTGAAAACGGCTAAGGTGTGAGTGGAGATAGCTCTGCACGTAGGGCTATCAACCCAAGCACCGCACCGCTCGGACGCAACACGAACATCGGTCAGATCAAAATCCACGAGGGCCCGCCTCGTCAAATTTAGGGTATGGATCACCAACAAACAACGATGACAGTGATGCACACAAACGGTATGCACGCGAAACGCCAGACGGCCAGGGTCCGCAGCGATGGGTACCAATTTGGATAGGCTGCCCTGTCACCCTGCTGTCTTGCAACAGCAAGAAGAAGGCCAGCACCTAATCCAGGCGCGTGTAATAGACCTCTTAAAGAGCACATATAACACGCGCACAACCTCAATGGCGTTATAACCCACTGGCTATTTGTGTTTCGAAAAAAAATAACTTGACCTGGATCCTATAACGAATAGTGTGTGTGTGTGCACGGAAAAGGTGTCGGCATTGATCGCAAAGCTATGTACCGCTCCTTTACCTGTACGCTTTGTAAACGGTTTGACAAAAGATGAGCAAGAAAGCACGGTATAACTTTATGGTGTCATCGTTGGCCTCACTTTCTGATAAGGTCCTCCTGAACGAGGCATTTGTACTCAGACGCCCTGTCGATTACGCGCTCCTCCCGCCTTATCTCTCGGTCGTTGACACGCTTGAAGATCTTGGCGACCGAGTTGCCGATTTCCTGCTTGGTCGAGCCCACGTCAGGCCCGTCGTCCGACTGGCTCTTCCGCGCAGCCGCCGGACGCCCCCGCTTGAACTCCTGCATCTGACGCTCCCTCTCTATGGTGACCTGATGTTGAGGGATATCGTCACAGGCCCACAGGTGCGCTAATGAGTGTGTTTTACCGTGACGTCTACGTCACAGTCATTGCCTAAGAAACAAAGCCCTGTTCAGTTCACAGGGTATCTTAGCAAAACTGCGTGTCTGTATACAGACAAAAGATATGAACGGGCAAGTCCTGAGCTGGTAAGTCCCCAGGAAATACGACCCATAACTTCCGATGCCATTCACAGCAGTTTCAAGCAGTTTTGCTACGCTCGCCTCGGACACGACAATGCGTTCCCAACCACGTCTTCCAGGCTGACCTCGATATTGATAGTTTGTATGAGGACACAGCGTAACAGCTCGTTGAGGCAAGCGTCCATCAGGTCCAGTGAGCGCTCCACCGCCACCTCCTCCCGCGAGCCCTCGTCCAGCTCACTGCACGAGAAGGCCTCAGACAGCTCGCTCAGCACCGAGGACATGTGCTCGCTTGTCGACGCCACCGCCTCCATGGCCTCCGGAGACAGCTGAAACAGCATGCTCAGACGGCCAGCGAGAAGACCACTCCTGAAGACCGCCTCGTGAGGTCACCAGGCGGGAAAATGTGGCGTAGTACAAACTGAACATTACGGGGAGGAAGCGAAACGGCACATCTAGGAAAAACTGGCTAGCGCTATTCAGATTGAACAAAAACGAGGATTTCGTGGGGACGTCAAGTCATTATGTTAGAAGTCAATTCGATGCTAATGATAGCTTATGCTAGAAGTCGGGTTGATTCGACTCAATTCAATGTGAAGTCACGTGGTGATCGCAAGCACCCGTAAAATTCAACATCCAGACGCAGTTTCTTTCGGAGTGATTACTCCTTCAGAAGTTAATCAGGAAGCTCCACATCCCCACGCTCCTACTCAACCATCACGCAACACTCAAGCCTGACCATGATCTCTGCAAAATGGCGTGACCCCGTTCCGATGACCACCGCGCACCTTGTTTTTGGCGATACCCTTGAAGAACATCTGTTTCCACTGTTGCGCCTCTGTCACCTCCTCACGAACGGTCTTGCGGTGCACCTCCCGTACCAGCTGCTCTCGCACCAGGTCCATCTGCCCCTCGGTGGCCTGCGTAGCGGCGATGGTTGCCTCGTTCTCCTCCTCCTCGGCCAGGCGCGCCACCTGCTTCAGCTGTCGCTGCACCTCCAGCCAGCCGGACGATACGGCTGCGCCCCGCGACTGGATCTCGGACATGCGACGCGAGCGCTCCCTGACGGAGGCGAACAGTGACAGCGCGAGCGCTCCCTGGCCGAGGTGGACAGCGACGGTGACGCAGCGCGGGGAGGCGGACAGTGACGGCGCCGCAGCGCTAGAGAGGCAGGCAGTGACGATGACGCAGCGCTAGAGGCAGACAGTGACGGCGCCGCAGCGCTAGAGGCAGACAGTGACGGCGCCGCAACGCTAGAGGCAGACAGTGACGGCACCGCAGCGCTAGAGAGACAGACAGTGACGGCGCCGCAGCGCTAGAGAGGCAGACAGTGACGGCGCCGCAGCACTAGAGAGACAGACAGTGACGGCGCCGCAGCACTAGAGAGACAGACAGTGACGGCGCCGCAGCGCTAGAGAGGCAGGCAGTGACGATGACGCAGCGCTAGAGAGGCAGACAGTGACGGCGCCGCAGCACTAGAGAGACAGACAGTGACGGCGCCGCAGCACTAGAGAGACAGACAGTGACGGCGCCGCAACGCTAGAGGCAGACAGTGACGGGCGCCGCAGCGCTGGAGAGGCAGGCAGTGACGGCGTCGCAGCGCTTGAGAGGCAGACAGTGACGGCGCCGCAGCGCTGGAGAGGCAGACATTGACGGCGCCGCAGCGCTAGAGAGGCAGACAGTAACGGCGCCGCAGCACTAGAGAGACAGACAGTGACGGCGCCGCAGCGCTAGAGAGGCAGACAGTGACGGCGCCGCAGCACTAGAGAGACAGGCAGTGACGGCGTCGCAGCGCTGGAGAGGCAGACAGTGACGGCGCCGCAGCGCTGGAGAGGCCTTGAGGTGTCGGGCATCCCGATGCAAAGTTTGCGGGCCAAAGATGTGTGAGTTGAGTAAGGAGACTGCTCCAGACCAAACGCAAGCCTTGTCGTGCAGGAGATGCATAGGCATTGTCAGCATAGCACCAGGCTGACCTTCAGTTTTGATGACAGGCAGTTTCCATCGAATTTTAAGGGAGTGTTCCACATTTGTGTGGGTTGTCGAACTGAAAGAGCCATCTTGAAGATCACTCAGTGGAGTTCACAGCCCTGCCTTGCTTAAGACCTAAACCCTTCCAGCTTCTGGGCTTAACACCCGCGAAGATTTGCAGACTTTTTCGTGCAGACTGTTATGAGCAGATTATTTCGTGCAGGTCATTTTGTGCGAACTATTTCAAGATCACCTAGGCATTCATGATGTCATAAAAACTTCATTCAAAGTCTGCCATTTCATTAGTCTGCGGTGGTCAAGGCCAAGAAAATATAATTGTCCAATGGTTCATGTCGGGCGTTTATAACAGTTGTTAATTGATTATCAATCAATGCTGTGCAAGGCACGATGGCGCAATCCACTAATGATGTATTGAGGAATATTTTTACCAAGTAGACAGATTGTGTTTAGAGCAGCCTTTCCACTTAAAAGTATGCCAATAGTTATGAGTGAGCTTATTTCATAAGATCTGATGGTTGCTTCGATATCTTTAAATGTGGAACATTCTCTTAAACGGTTTATAGCCGACTGTATGACAAAGTAACAAAAACCAGAGTAACTGTATGACCAAGTATGCTATAATGCAAAGCACTGAGGCAGACCGCGTGCCGGCCAGTTTGGACGGAGCGCGTGTGAACCCCCCGGCAGCAGCGCCAGTACGCCGGTGACCTACCCGTCCACGGCTCTGGCGATGGCGGTACGGGTGAGGGCGCGCGTCGACCTCTCCAGGCGCAGCGGCGCCTCAACCAGGTAACTAGTACCCCGGTACAACAGGTCCTTGGCGTCCGACTGAGCCGTCTTACGGTCTGGGAGCTGGCCACCGGTCAGAAGTACACAGGTATTGCAGCGCAGTATGCTGTGTACTGTTTCGCACATATGTCAAGGGAACGAGTTAACTGCGCCGGGAGAGTTACATCACACCTTGCGCTGTATGTGAGGCCCAGAGGTTAACAAAACTTAACTTATTTGGTAACGTTCCGATCCCAGCCATTACTGATTGATTCTTCCAGGACGCCCTCGTCATGTGGAGATGTGGATGGTTTGACAGGAATTATAGGACACATGATGATAATCCGAATACTTTAAAGTGATACGGTTCGTGCCACTGTGCGAACTGATCAAACCTCCTTTCGCCAGTACGATAAGACCATTCCGATTTTCGCGAATATTCTACTGTCGCCTGAGCTGTCTGAGCGTCCTGCTGTCTGCCGAATCAGGGATACTGCGCGTACATCGAAGGCAGGCGTGGCCATGGCTGGGGCAGCTCGTTGACGAGTACGAATGACGCGTCCTGGCATAATGCTGACGCCTCGCGGTGGCTAATCGATGCCCACGGTCAAATTTTTCGCTTGCTAATTTTGTTGTTTGTTGTATTTGTGCACAAATACGACTGAGGCTTGGCCGGAGAGAGCAATTCACATGGATGTGAAAATAAATAAATAGATGATGGCGATGATGATCATGATGATGTGGACAACTGTTAGATTGCTAGTGACTATTCACTTTAAGGAATAATGGCATAGACGGCATATTGAAGTTCGCTATTTTTGGAGAGCATCAAATTATCTTGCATATTTAAATCCTATGTAGTCCTCTGTGAACCCATGTAGGCACACACCTGTATTACCCATGGACCTATTTATTGTCTATTTATTACTTACGACCTACCTATAAACCTTTATCATCTTTATTACCTTTTCCAGGATTGTTATCAACACTGCTTTTAGGGTAAATGACATGTAAACTACAAACAAGAAAGGTGATCTTATTTGAAATTGAGCATGACCTAAATGAGAAAACGAGAAGTGGAAATCGATCACAATTTGTTCTCAACACCAGCAAAGTTTTACAGCTCTCTTCCGCGCTATGTTGCTATTGTATCGAAGTTAGAAGGTCGATATTTGAAAGTAAAGAGACTAGAAGATCGTGATTGCAGCTTGCAGGTGCTTAGGATATATGCATATGAGTTTATCATTCATCACAAGCATGCGAAACATTTCATATAGTTCTTGCTTCGTCGTTTCAGAGAAGAATCTGCCGCATTGCAGTGCCATGTTACAACAAACATACTAAATCAAAACCACTTTTCAAAATTATAGTGATTGTCAGGCCGCGCCTGCTGTGTGTACTGTGTACAGAACCACGTTAAGAAAGTAGTTCATGGTGGCCAAGACGACTTACCCGCATGTGGCCTTCCATACGCGGAATACCAGTGGCGGTTTTACGGATATTAAAGTTCAGCTTCAGCGCGTCCCGGAGGTTTTTGGCCTCGGTGCCGTACTTCTTATCCATGAACTCCTCCACCTCGCTGTCCGTGTCCTCATCGGACGTGTGTTGGAACAGCCGGCTGAAGCTCTCCGACACATGCACCTGCCGCGTCGCAAGCTTCGGATGAAAAGACCAGGTATAGACCCCCGCATCACAGGAGGCCAAAGCTCCAGCTGGACTCTTTTCCGTCCGCGATTGGCGCGACTGCTGCTAGCTGCAACCGCTGCGCAGCCCAAGATCGTGAGCAGCGTGGACGAACGGGGCGGGGGGGGGGGGGGGGGGGGTCGCATTAGTAATTGCAATATTCGATTACTCTAGCAACCGTCTGTATTCAGTGCATTTATTCGAATACCGAAATCGGTGCCTTGACAGACGAAAGCATAAGGACACTTACTGAAATAGCCTCACATACACCCCAAGGGCATTCCACACCAATTCTGGGCCCATTCAACAGATCGTCTTAAACCCCTCTCGCGGCTTTTCACGAGTACATACAAACAGGGTGTCCATCGTTTTTGGCGGTACATTCTAAGTCTTATGATGTAAAATAATGAAACTTGATTTCTTAGCTGTAATTTTCTGCTAACCATCATCTTAGCTTCGCCAGTTGAAGTTAAATGATAAATGACATCTCCACGGACTGCGATTTAAGGGAGAATGGGATGAATTGCGTTATTCCCACGTAGTTTCAGGACCATTTACTCCAAATCTGCAAGACAGATGCCGGCTTTGAGTCACTTGACTGACGTGCGGTAGCGCCCGCTATCTGTCAGCGCCTGCATATGTATTCGCCACGCTCACCTCGAAACGCGTGCACACGTTTCGAGGTGAGCGTGGTAAATATTTTTTTTGCACATCACTCAGAACTCTAGCGACCGATAGAAATATGTGTTTAAAGTCTAACGACGCATCAGAATGATCAGAATACCATATCAACTTGTGGGAAGTACTTGTGTGACATATGCCAAAAAAGTGTCTGCTTGCGAAGGATTTCGGGATGTCACAAACATTCTTTCAAGGTGTCAGGTGGTACATGTTGTATCAGCTGTGCATGGGGCATGTTGAATCAGTGTACAATATACCGACATTGATGTTGCAGACGGGTTTGCTGTCAGTGATTGAGTGACATGATTGCCCTGACTGATTTCATCCAGACAATAAGTTTCGTGGTCGCGGAGCTCACCAGGGGCACGGAGTCGTTGGACGTGTAGTAGTTTCCGTCGAGGAAGCCGCTGACGGTGCTCCTGACGCCCAGCGGCGCGCTGTCCGCCGAGCCAGCGCCACTCTGTGGGAGGGCAGCAGTCGCAGCGCCACTGGCCGGACTGGCCGCTCTGCAGAGCGCTCCGGCGTCCCAGAGCCAGCACAACGCCGCCGACTAGGCTTCTATGACACGAATGGAATACACGTGACCATCTGCTGCAGGGAAACGCTCCCGGCGTTATGGAAGATGAAGACCACCCAAATACTGCATGGATCTTACAAGCACTACACGGGGTAAGGGCTTTGTGCAAAATAAAACACAGCACAAGAGGATAAGCTTAGCCTCAGGAGAGATGAAGTGTAGCACACATCTAGAGTGCGAATGGAGCATGTAACTTCGCACATATAGGCCATACATTTAATAATTTGAACGAGCAGATTAATTGGAGGGGGGAGGTCTTTGTAGTCGGAGTCTGCTAAGAATGCCTCGATACATTCACCCCGACTCTGCCACACCGACAAGGCAGCGAGCACGTTCCAGTACAAAGGTAGCGTTGGCTGATGTAATTAGCGTTCCGCGTGATGTCACGACACGGCCGCCATGCCCCATTCTGATTCGCTCAGGACTAGCAGCCAGTTGACCCTTGACGAGTCCAATAGTCCAGTGTAGTTTGTTGCTACGCGAACTCACATAATCTGGTGCCCAAGTGGTCAGGTGTCCGGTGCTCTACTCAATGAGGGTGGTCATGGTCAGTTGTCCTGTGCTCTACTGATTGAGGGTGGTCAGGTGTCCTGTGCTCTACTGACTGAGGGTGGTCAGGTGTCCGGTGCTTTACTCACTGAGAGTGGTCAAGTGTCCTGTGCTCAACTGACTGGGGATGGCCAGGTCTCCGGTGCTCTACTGACTGCAACGGCGACGACTCAGTCGATGAACGGGGAACTTTATCACTCGTGAGTCACATTGTAGTCGGTCGTTGGCCATACGGTGTGGCCATATGTTGTACAAGAACATCTAGCTGCCCCTGTCGGCGATAAGTTACACTGGGTGCCGATCTAGCCATTCGTGAGTGATGACTAACAGCAGGTACCAGCCTCCTGATGTCTCTTCCGTGTGCCGAGGCCTTCCGCCGAACTGACATCGTCCGATCATTGCTCGTTCTTCTACTGCCCTTTTTGGATCCAGTACCATCCACACTAGAAAATAATAGAGGAAAATAACGTCAGTACCCGTGCTTGAGAGAAGAGTGAGGTGAGATATGGCGGCGGAGGCATAGTTCTCTTCCCGGATATCCTATGACCATCCCATGAATATCATCGCCTCCCATTTTTCTTCGTTGTGCTCTGTAGGGCACAACGCTGTATCCAATAAAAAAAGTTTTATCAGTCCGCTGGCATTGTACGAAAAAGGAAAAATGGCGCGGTCGTGTCAGCACAAGAGCTTCCATCCGGCCCCGGCCAATATCACTGGAGTACGAAACATTCCTTGATGGGCGATGTGTTGCTCTGTACGTCGCTAATCACAGAATCTTGCGCATTAGTTAACGAGCCAAAGACCATACAAATACATTTTTGTACACAAACTGTAGCGGAATAATTCCACCACTAATCTGCCTAAGGCGTCTGATGAAACGAACCTTATCTTATCGTGAGAAACTGGCGAAACAAGCTAATCTCTTATCATGCGTCGTCTCATTAATGGGTTTAAGATTGTTTTTATCCCAGCCTGATCATCGGTCCTTTTTGAGATTTGCTGAACGGGACGCCCGGCAACTGAAACGCTCCTCACCGCTGTCCATCCACCGTCACAATGCCGTTTTCCCCACTGCAAAACGAAAGGAGCCACACTTCATCAATCACTGGGTCATTCATGGCTCGCAGTTAATAGTGCGCGGTTCACACTTTGTCCCTAATGCTGTCCCCAATGTTCCTCACAATGCGTCGAGCACGACGCCCGGTAGCCGGGCAGCGGCGCAGAGCGGCCAGACAGGCTCCATGCCTCTGCTCTGGCACACCGGCTGTCAAGACCCGTGCCGCTGTCCTGGCACACCGGCTGTCAAGACGACCCGTGCCGCTGTCCTGGCACATTGACTGTCTGGACAACCCATACCGCTGTCCTGGCACACCGGCTGTCAAGACAACCCGTGCCGCTGTCCTGGCACATTGGCTCTCTGGACAACCCACGCTCAGACCACTGCCAATCCACAAGCACAATCTCTCCAGAGACGCCCCAGACCAGGTGTGCGATATGTCGTAATGACCCAAACACTGGCGTGGACCAGGGGTGCAGCCAGAGCCTTGGCAGGGGGGCACAGGTTTGAGAAAGGACCCCTAATGGTAACCCCCCCCCCCAAAAAGAAAAATCTCCGGATACAGCCAACCTTGAAGGGCAGCTCTGAACATGCATGCTCGCAAATCTTAGCAACAGAAACCTTGACTCCAGGCGTTGCAGTCTTTGTAGGTGTTCGGCGTTAGCCCCGCGGCGAACTTCAGTGTTGGTAAGCAGGAAAGCAAACTTGGTGGTGAAACTGGGAGAGTGGAGGAAAAATCCCCATTTGTTGCGTTTTTGTAGCTATTAGTTTGTCCAAACGACATGCTCAGAATAAAAAAGATACGCGCCGGTCTAATTTTTGAACAGTACATAAATATTTTGAGTCTCTCAGAACAATTTTCGCAACGGACGATCTCGCGCACACGGCGCCTGCCGTCTGGTGTTATTTAAAGTGACCAGCGTCGTCCGGCTTTACGGAGACTGCAACCGCGGCCATCGCTTTTCTCGCTCCTGAGATTGAGAGCGCACAGGCTCAAAACTTTTTGATGTCATTTGTTGTGCTAGTTGATCCCGCAAAAGAATCAACGTTCCCAAGTAAACAAGGGTTGACTTCGGACAAGAATGCTCGCTCCAATGCCTTCAAATGTGGAGCATTCCCTTACAATGACTTGCCTCTGAATGACGCACAACGTGCCTTACTCTCTCAATTTCGTTGTTTAGTTACAAGTGCAGCAGTCTTTTCACGTAAAGCGCGAGCCCCCGTCGGGATTAAGGTGGCAGACGTCGGTGACCATTTGGAACGACCCCACAACTTCGCTGGTTTTCGCTTACGAGTTGCAGAGCATTAAGCACGTTGCCTGCTGCCCACATCGGGCTGAACAATGGCCTCGGCACCAACACTCCATGGTTTGTTCACGTTATTTGTAAAATTATGGCCCCCTGATTGGAAATAAGTTGTCACAAATCAGAATCATGAAGGAATTGGCCCTATTCGGTCCGCCAAGTGGCGCCCGGCTCAAAAGGCCAGCGATTGTTTTGATTGATTTAACCCCTGGCGACCCACCGGCGCCGCCCCGTCTCTGCGTTTAGCATAGCAGAAAAGTGTTTTTGTGTAGCCGGCCTGTAGTTGCAGAACAGTTTTAGATTCGGTCCTGAAACGTGGACGCTGCTCTTGATGGTAGTTCTCACAAATGCTTGCACAAATGAAAGACCCCAGTGCGATAATTCGTGGACCCAGAGAATGATCAAGGGGAGAAGTGCTACCGCCGCCGGGACTCTCCGTGCGGCCTCCTCACTATCACAGAGCTCATTTTCAGCTGTCGGCCGGCGGGCCGGGCACCCGTACGGATACCGAGGATACCGTGGCTGGTACTCAGCGCGTGAAGGAGATTGAGGGGGGTGGGTTTCGGATCCCTTCTCAATCGCGCGCCACCCAATCCTTGTCCTCATTATACTTCGTCAATCTCAGGACTAACGGACCGACAGCCCCGGCCACATACCCATCGTGCGGACCGCCGGCGTTGGGTCCCGGTTGGCCGCAAACAATCGCTTGTTCAGATAAGCAAGCAAGGCCCTGAGCCTAGGCGTCATGATAACTTTGAGCTCATGGGTTGTCGCATCGAGCCATATGAATCGCTGTAATCCTCCTCCCCACATGCAGTCCTTATCGTAGTACCTTGAATCGGGTGGTGGGATGCGGGACCTCGAATGATGCATTACTTTGATTATTTAATGGTAGTGTCTGCTCAGATTCAAACCATTTTCTGTGCCCAACGTCTTAGTTCTTAAATGCATTTTTTGCCTAACTTTGTTCACGCGTGACCACAAGCACATCTGGAAGCGTCGAGCTTTGTCAATTTAATCAACACTTGTTTTATAACGTCGTTTAACGAGCATATTCTGCTATAATGAGGTTAGATTATTGCCAGAATAACAACTTCCAGCTTACAAGCCTTTGTTGAGTCTGACGCTTCTCCCAGGGGTGGAGGAGCCCTGTCTGAAGTCTACAATGAAAGTCCCCAGCGAGCAGGCCGCGGCTGAATCGGCTGCTAGCCAGCCGGCAGAGCAGAACACTGCAAACCGGCTGCCCTTGATATTTTATAGTTCTAGGCCCTCGAAAACCTCGCCACTCGCCCCAAAATATCATACCACTGGAAGCTATTTCTCGATAGATCGATATCCTTCCCGGCGATCCTCCCTCAATAGATTCCTTAAAACAAGCCTTTCAAAGAAGTCTTTCGCTGACAGGATGTGTTCATTTGATGTCTCCTGCATGGATTGCGATTAACACGGACTAACCGGCTGCGCACGGAGCAGTGGGAACAAAATAGTGCGGTAACTCAGGGGTGGCGGAAGCACAGTCTCCCTGCCGACGCTCGGGGCGCGCCTCGACAGCCTAGTGTGTAACTCGGTTGGCGGAAGCACAGTCTCCCTGCCGACGCTCGGGGCGCGTCTCGACAGCCGCAGCGTCCTGATGCCTGCTGCTCCCGATTCTCGCCATACATTTTCGAGGAAATTCGGCACACACATAATGACTTAAACAAACCCAAGAGGATTCAGGCGAGCCTATCACGTGCTTAATTGGGTACTGATCTGGCAATAAATTAACTTCTACATTTCTCAGGCACTTGGGGACTAGTGTGTTCCGCTCGTTAAGATGCACTGCGTGTCGGGTTTTGGGCGTTTTCTTCTTTTTTGGGGGTGGGTTGCGGGGCTGACCGTGGGGTGAGCATGCCATCCCGTAGATCTCGTTCCCCAGGTTGCATTCTCACACCCTGGATCACATATTTTACCCACAACTTATAAGTTGTCCCAAGGGTAAATCCCATTTCTCGCTCTAAGCTTATTCAATGAATCCCCGTTAACCAACTCACCGCGATAAGTGCCAGAACACCGTGTACGCACCGCAAAGTGCATTAAGATAGAACAGTGCTATAAGCCTTATTCCTCGTTGAAGAATGACTGGATGAAAATAGGTATATTATGATATCTAGGGTGCAAGCCTCCATCAAAAATCGATGATCGACCATCGATGTTTCACTACAGGCTTATACCACAAGTGTCATAGCAATATGCTTATATTTTTTGCTCTGTAATCATAGGGGTAGGAGCGTCTCAAAAAGTGGGGGGCCAAGCTCAGGGCGTACCTCAGGAGCTTCTTTTCTGGAAAAAAGCCCGACGACCGGGGGCGGGGGAGGAGTAGAGATGGAGGTTACTGCTCTTTATTATAATGACTGCTATTCTAGATATGCACCTAGAGCTGTTTCTCATTGGTGCACACTCTTGCCTATCCGACTTATCTATGTCATTCGAGAAATAAGGCTTTCCAGCTTCCCAAGGTAATTCGTCCGTTTCAACGTTGCCTGTCCTGGGGAACCGAAATTCCACGAGCGGGTAGGCATTTTGGATCGTTGAGGAGGCGTCTGTCTCCACAGGGTGGATGCCAAAATATGGCCTGAGCCTAGCCTGGTGAGAATTTTGAAAGTAAATCGATGGCTCACCGAACAACAGGTTTTGCATGAGCTTTCATTTCACTGACTGCTATTCAAGAGATAAGACTTGTCGCGGTATTTTAGGCGAAAACAAATTCGGAAGCATGAAACTGCCAAACACGATGTGACAAAAGCCATAGAGCTGGAGATTCTCCTTCGAAAACCAAGCCACAGAATGAAGACCATTCTGTCATATATTCTTTGTCTGAGCTCTGCTCCCGTCCACCGTCGGTGGTCACTGTCCTGGCCCGGCTGCCTCCGAATGACTGACCGCGAACTGATGTCATGGCTGCTTTGTTGCAATTTCTGGATCAGCATTGCTACTAATTGGGGTGCAAAGCATGTGTTGGACACCTGCGGCAGTACCTTTTTCCGAATTGTCTTCCCTAACACCACATCGCCCCAGCAAAATGCCGCCGGGAAGCTGTCTACTTTAGGTAAGAATTGGCCCAGCGAACATTCAGTTGCCCATCATTCAACGTAGATGACTTGATCCGTTTTTGTGTGTAGGCAGAGGGTAGACGGAGCCTTGCTAAGAGGAACACAGGGTTGACAAAAGGCCCCTTTATGTTGAAAAAGCCCCCCACAAAGGATATCTCCGGATATAGCTTGCCTGTTAACAAGGGATACAGTTTTCTTCGTTTCGTTGTTATTTTTACGTTTCAACCAGAACGGAAGCCAGCAGTTACCGTGAAATCAATTCTGTTTACATTTTTAACACGCGCCCGGGTGGCCGGCTAGATACCATTCTCTCGGTCGGGGGTCAATTTGACTTCCCTGAGATCTCGAGGCCTAAGAAAGCTAGATACACCAAATTCACAGGGCGTGTTGACCTGCACGTGAACTCACTTAGCTTAAAGTTTGAGGTTCCTAGGTCACGACTTTTGGGTCAAATAAATTCAAACAAGGTCTAATTCCAGGTTGGTCGCCAAATTGCACCCAGAACCTGGATAACTGTGTGTAAGCAAAACATCACATCTTCATTTAGGATCAGCGACCTGTTTGACCTTTTGAAGGTCATGGTGACCAAATCCATACAAGACCGCTCTGAGTTTTGCATTTAAATAAGCGACAAAGATTACGCTAGTCAGTGTATTTCTAAAAACAAAATGTTGACCTAGGTCAATGACCTATTCTGACCTCTAAGAGGTCCATGGAAGATGTATAATGCGGTTGCTGCTATCAATAAATTTGAAATGAGCACCAGAAGCCATCTCATGCAGCAAGCGCTAGAGTAACAAAACAAGCTGGTTTTGACCCTGGTCTGACCTCTATACCTGGCCTCAAGTCAACGTAATTTGCTCATGCAATATTTGTGTTGCCTAAGAAAGCATCTTAGAGATGCATGGCTTCGTCTAACACTCCATTGTTGCATCATATTGAACGATTCCCTAGAAGTTGACTTCGCTGAAACCATGCCCTGACTTTGACCTGCCATAGGCTAGCGACCTTACAAAGTACATCTAAATTGTGTTATGCTAAGCGATCCACTATTCAATTTTCTACAGCTATGCAAAACATGGCGCGACTGCACCGCGCCGTTCGAAAACCATTCTGGAAAACCCTTCGGGGCGAGTCAATTTGACCCCCAACCCGAGCGTATGTTAAGGTCAATAAACTGCAGAACTCAGGCGTTTAACGACCGCATAGAATTAATCACCGGTGTCCTTAACTTGCCATGACTTAGTGGACTCCTTCTTAACAGATATAACTCAGAAGCTTTTTCATAATATTTTATCTGCGTTCTACAAACATTAAGGAGATCGCGAAGGTAGATTGTAGATCCATATGTCTGATCAAAATTTGAGGGTGAACATTTTGATTGTAGATCGAGTAGTCAACAATGTGTATTAACGTCGCCAGGCCATGTTTGTCTGGAAATGTCTATCATTCAGTCAGAATCGATTAGTGATGCAATTTATATAACGTGGTTTTTAACATGCGCGCTCGCAAATCTTAGCAACAAAACCTCGACACCCGGCGCTGCAGTCTCCATTGTCCACGGAGCGCTAGCTTAATGGTTAACTTTTCGTCAAGGCCCACCGGTGGACAAAAATGACAACGGTTCTGCCATAATTTCTTTTAAACACTTAACCCGGTTCGTAATGAAAGTTATGTGACATAATTTTGAGCATGCGTACTCGCAAATCTTAGTTAAAAAAACCTCGACGCCAGGCGTTACAGTCTTCGTAGGCCGCGCAGCGTCGGTTTAACAGCTAATACCGAGTCGTGGCCAACGGGTGAAAGAAAATAATGACGCTTCTGAAAGAAGTACTTTTGAATGCTTCAGGATATCAGATATTACATCTACAAGGCAGTCTGGGCGCGTACTTTACGTGTGCGATTTTTGGACTGATGATAGGAACAGATGCGCTCTTAAAGCACCGCGAAGTGGTGCTAGAATCTGGTGGTGGAACTGGAAGAGTAAAGGTAGATTTTCTATTTTTCGTGTTTCCGTAACTATTAATCTGTCCAGAAGACAGATTAACGTGTCTCCCGCCGTCTGGTGACACTTGCAATGGCCGACGCCGTTCGGTTTTACGGAAGCTGCAACCCAGACCATCGCTGTCCTTGCTCTCGAGACTGCAGGAGGGCATGTTTAAACTTCTGAATGTAATTTTTCACTCATCCATCATGAAAAATGAGCCTCCTCGGGAAAACATGGGATGCCCTTGTTGGTTTTTTAAAAAATCATTTTGACCCACTCTTTTCAACAATAATGAGAACCCCACTCTACTCAATAATAATGAGACCCCTTATTTCCTCCCGGGCAAGGGGCCCCTTGAGTAGAACACTAGAGGCACATTACCGGTTCCGGTCAGGGGCTGAAGGGCCACTCCGTCCCATCGCGAAGTGTCTTCTGCCTGTCATTCTGGCCAAACGGGGTGGGGTCTCCTGGTCGATCCGGAGGACATGAGAAGGATATATCATATCATATTGTTGCCCTTCCTGAAACGGGAGGTCTTCTGACCCTCGCAGTTGGCCCCGGATCAGCATAGGAACCCTCATTGACGCAACAACATGCCTGATCGCTGAAGGTCGTCCAATAATTGTCACATAGACTACAGGCTCATGTTTTTCTGTGTTCTTCAGAGACATTTAGGACGCCCTGGACGTAGATAGATGAGATGGGCCCCAAATTTGTATTTACATGGCCAATTCATCTTCGTCTTAAAATGTTCAACATTCAGTTAGAATTGATTACTGATAAAAATCTATGCAACATGGTTTTGAACACGCGCGCTCGCAAGTCAACAGCCTCGACGCCCGGCGTTGCAGTCTTCATAGTCTGCGCGGCTTCGGCATGTGGCTGTGACACTGAACGATGACCAATAAGCAAACGAAAAAGATGACGCACCTAGAGGAAGATGGCTGGTGAACTAGACAAATTGGCACGTATGTTTAATGTGGTGCAAAATTAAGCTAAACGCAACCTTAATATAAATGGTGTGTGTGGAGGAGGGGGGCAGTTAGCACTGCTGTCCCACCCGCACCTTGAAAGGTGGGGGACCATGGCCCCCTGGCCCCCTGTTCCTACGTCCATGCTGTTCAAGAGATCTCAACGAGACCGGTTCCAGACAAATTGTACTGTCAGAAAAGCCAGACGTTTGATAACGAAGCGGGCTATGTGTGCCCTCATATGCTCCCGGATATCTGCAAACCAGGCGAATCTCGTTCCCGATAGAATGGCAGTCGGGTCGGGATCAGCGGGTCGCTGTTGACTCACTCGTTCCGAAACTCCGTGGCCCTGCCGGAGCCGCGACGTTTGGCGGCTGGCGAGCGCTCACCATCCGGCTGAGAGGTGATGCCATCTGTCGGCTGATGTCGTAAATGCATCAAAGAATGGTGCGATGCGAGCCAAAATTGCATGAACCGGGACCAAGCAAGAGTTGATTGTCTTGACCACTGAAAAATGCCCTACCCCTCCCCCCCAAAAAGATCCCAGGATCTCATTAACATGGAACCCTTTACGATTCAACTTTGGGATCTAGGCACATGTCTGAGTGAGCGGAAGTAGGGATCAACTCGGCCAGGGCTCACAATATTAGTACATTCGCTAGGCGTCTGTTGTGCCTCGCAAACACCACGCAATAATGAGCACAGTGACCACTAAGTTCACACATTAAGCCCTTGCATACAAAGTTGTTAGTGACGATCTGGTAACACACCGGTCATGAGCAACCCGAGAGATCTGGCACGCACTCAGCCATACCTGAAAACGTTAAAGCTAGCCTGGTGACGCTCTCAGTCACCGAAGTACGCTGCGCTGCATGCACCAAGTCTTACCGTGAAGAACTCATCGTATCCACCGGCTACCACGGAGCTGCGGCGGCTCCGTCCTGCACTCAAGTCCATCGTGGGTCGGTTCTCAGACAGCAGAACCAGAGTTTAGCTACAGGTTTACCACCTTGCGTCGCGTTCAAGCGGCACGCCGACACAGTCCAAGGCAACGAGGCTAGAGTGGTGTCGAATCGCGCATAACGACCGCGACTGCTCGTGGTGAACTGCTCATGCCCCTCAAACCGAAACGTCACTGCTCGCTGCAAACCCTGCTCAAGTCAAACCGAAACGTTTCACTGAATTGAAATGTAGGCGGTAAACGAAACGCGATGTTTGTATTTTCTCTTAAGGCGCCATATTGGTGCGCATAAGAACTCGTGGTATTCTGATTTTGCCGAAACGCTTAACACATCCGTACATTTCAATTCATGTCTCGTGCCGCACCCAACTTAAGATTTCCTGGTCAAGGTGACGGCCCAAATCTTGTACCAGATGATAGCCTTAATTGTGGCAGCCATAGGCTGGGGAAAATGTTCTCAAAACGACAGCTGGAAATGGGTTCTCGATTCACTTTGTGCAGACAGTGACGCAACACCAGATTATAAGCAATCGCGCTGAAACGAAATTAGTAAGGTGATGAGCATGCTTGCTGGATGCGCGGTTATAAAAATCGCACATTGAAGATACCATTCAGAGCGTCATAAAAACTTCAAAATGCTTACACCAAAAATGTATCGTGGCATCGCCTTCGAGGGGCCGTGCACGCGATATCCGTGTACGGTGGTGTCGTGTACGCAATGTACCGTGACAGCTATTAGGCTATCCGGCGAATAGCAACGTCACTGTCAGTTGCCACACCCAGACTTCAAGTAGAACTGCATTATCATGAGCAAACCAAATTATTAAAGGCTGGCCACTTACGTATCTAGCGTAAAATATACATCTAATTTTACTCACACCATCTCTAAACGAAACACGACCACTTGGCGGGTTTACCGCAGTTCTTGACAGGGCGTGAGGTTTCTTGTCATTTCTCAGCATTTATTTTTGTACGTCTGCTTTTCAACAGAAACTATGTACACGATGGCCAATGCACGATATTTATTTCGATAGCATCGATTTTGAACCACAAAAAGACAAAATCTCGCGATGACATTTTTCTTCCATATGCTTCACCTCCCTCGCCACTTTACGTTAAATATATCTGACCCATAACAAACAGGTGCACATGCGCAAAACACGATCACAAGCCAAACGGAATAGGGGCCCGCTCAAAGACTGCGCGTAAAAGCGCCGCAGTCAACCCCACAATGGCAGGGCCTCTCCATTCCCCCGCAGCTCCGCCGTTGTCCGCCGTCATCGTTGGGGTGAACTCGAGCGGGTGGTCGAGAGCGCCACCTATCGCGGCCGTCGGCTTCCAGATTTGTCACGAGCATCATCGCTACTTGAGCAGGCTCCACTTCAGCTGCTCCTTGGCCGACTGCAACACCTGTCATCGGCCATGGGCGGCTCATTAGCTTGTGCAACAAAATCTGGAGGGTCAGCAGGGTCCCGCCCACAACTTGTGCAATAACGGCTTAAGAAAACGGCCGCAAGGAGGCGATGGGGTAGAAAAGCCAGCAGCACCGTAACACTGGCAGAGACCACGTCGTGAAAGTTAGCCTTTATACTTTGCACGAGCTGGAAACATGCATGGGGGTTCACAAAGTAATGCGTACTCAAACCCGCATAGATTTGAGGGAAGGGCACATGAAAACTGACCATTCGAAATACGCGGTGGCCAAACCCCAAGACGTGTACGCCCGTCCTAGCAAAAAAAAAAACCTTTCGATTTGTGGGGATTGCCACGCGTCTGGGCCCTGGCCAGTCAGAACTAAACGCATTTTTCCCCTCCCCCGCCCCACCCAGTTGGATAGCCTTACTGGTCAGCGATTCACTAAATTCAATAAAATATATACACCAAGTAAACATGTGGCACTCCCCAGTCATCATATTTATGGGAAAACAGATCAAAAACGCCTGCAACAAGTTAGATATCAGCCAAGTTAGATATCAGCCAACTGGAACTGGGCTAAAAGGTCACGTCCTTTTCTGGGACAAATTGTTCGGGCTACGAGCGAACTGTTTTTGAGAAGAGGATGAGAATATCGCCACCTGCTCTCTGACTACCGGGCGACCGGTGGTATGATCGAATTAAGACCAGCGCAAGCTTCGAAAGCAAAATGCACCTGCATAGTACAGCTCTGAAATAACGTACTCATGAGGTATTGTACCCGCGACACAGTACAGTGTGCGAACCCGTTAGGAGCGGGCAAATATACCCGTATATTCAACCCTGTTTAGCTGCCGAGCTGCACAGCTTCGCCAAGTCATGCGCAGAACGCCCAAACTGGTACCAGTTAGCCCAGTCAGTTGACAAACGTGGGATTCGTGCCACTCCAACACAAAGCGGGACAGGGGAGGGGCTTTGCGTTCCTGTTGGCACAGCGTGATAAGAATCGAGATTCCTGTTGTGCAGTTATCACGCTAACATGGGTGATTTCACGAGGTTTGCTAAGCCTGATTGTTTACTTTCCAGTTAATGGAACGAACCACTAAGCACCGCGATGGAAGACAAGACTCATAATTGCTCTACGTAGGTAAGCTACGCAACTACCAGTATCATTTCAAACTCAGTCATGGCTTGACATCTGGTGGCAAACAACATATTCATGCCGAAAACGGGACGAAAGTGAAGACGAAAATAAGTAATATTTTAGTTGGCTTCCGATAAAGATAACAAAACTCCTCCATTTTGGGCACACGCACCACTTTTAAGCAGCATGACCACCCACAATATAATACCAACACATCCTGTACAAAACGCCTTTGCGTCGATAGTTTTTTTTCGGTAAAGCCGCCGCATCTCTTTGTTAGAACCCGACCACACGCAAGACCTCAAGAAGTGCAAGGTTTCTTGTGACCCAGCTGTACAAATACACACAACAAACAAACGCAAGTGTCTGCATGCCGCATGCTCCCCGCCGCCACCGCAGCCACAGCACGCGCGCTCACAGGGTACACTCCCACTCGTGCTCATTGCTGGCCATGGCGTGAGTCACGATCGGTTGTAACGCGCGTGCACGCTTGACCACGGCACGCCAGAAGCTCCCACCCATGGCGTGCAGCCAAACGAAGAATTACGTACGGCACGCCAACAGAGAAATACAGGAAATAACAGCTCAGTAAAGATAACCGCTGTTTGGTATGTAACCAGCGAACAAAGCGACTTCTGAAAGCCTGTTTGAAACTGCGTTTGGAAACTGTGTGATTTCAGTGATTTACTTGTTTTTCGAAGATTTCGGGTTAGTACGGGACACTTAGGAGAGCTTTTCCATGAACGCACGGTTCGACGAATTACTCGCAACTCATCCCACATAAAAGGCGTGGTCACAGACATCAGCATGGCCCGAATCACTGTAAATTCTGCCAGCGACCAAGACAACACCAAGATCCTTGTGCAAATACTTCTGGAGAGCTTACGAGTGCGAGGCACACCAGTAAATGCCCTTAGACGACCCATCACAATTCGGAGCCCGGTTGCAAAACATACTGACAATTTCGGGTTATATAGCGTGCAGAACACACTACACAACTGTCCGTTTCGGCAAGGTTATACATTTACTAGATCCCAACTGACAATCCTTTCATCGTTCATCTGTCACAGACGGAATGGCAGCCACCTTGTCAAACGGGCTGTGCGAACTGACTGGCTGAAGACGGACCGCCGGACGTCAGCACGAAACTCCCCTGCCCATACTGATGTGTAAAACGATACGGCCAATTCCTGAAGCAGTGGTTCCCACTGATGATGGAGCATGCGCATCGGCTTTTGGCGACACATGTTCAGTATCAGTCAACCTGTTCAGCAGCTGATGCGCTGCTGCTAATCTGGTGCCTGCCAAGGCCCTGGTGTCGTCAGCGTCTGTTAAGCAAGCCCACGGGACGGTACTGTTCAGCTCAGCCCGCAACGGCAGCGCACCCGGCGCACCGGATCAGGATGACTTAGTGACGCCTCCCGGCTGCAGCCCGTTACGCTGTCCATGCCCTGTCGGCCCAAGCAATTAGACCAGATCGCCGTCTGTCGCATCTGCGCGGGGGCTACCGATTCGTTCCCGACTCCGGCCTACTTGGCCAGAGCGTGCAGGGAGAGCGGCTGGCCGCCGGCGCGCGCCCCTCACCGCCACCGCACAAGCCGGCGCGGCCACAGACACCCAGTCCCGCCGGCCACTTACGCTTCCCGTCAGGCCCGACACCCTAGCCTTCACCTGCGGCGTGCAGACGGGTCCAGTCAGCGCCGCCGCGGCACCAGCTCCGCACACGCACACCACGGCGCACGACCGCCGACGACGGGGCGACGAACGTGCCACCGACTTGACACACGTACATACATGACCTTGACCTTGTGAAACGCTGACCTATCGCATCAGTCGTCGCTCAGGTCCAAATCCACGACCAATCCCAATATTTGGCATTAAGAAACATTGACTTACAACTATCTTAGAAACAGTAACGAGACTGACGAAGGTCATCATGACGCTTGCTTCATTTCTCCTCCATTGACAACAATATTTGGTTCCTGCGCAGCTTAGAAAGCGTTTCGGAATGTTCTTTTCCGTATCATTGCCGTGCACAACTTGGAAGGAAGGCAATAGGTCAGTAGATCAGTTAGAAAAGAAATAAAACTGCCAGGTCCTGAGAAAAGATTTGCACTGATCACTGCTGCTGCGGTAACAAGGAACTGAACACCATTAACTAGTCTAAGCTGCATTACGATGCAACGAACAGCTCGAGGGATACCTCACAAAACAGATGAATAACAGAGGAGAGGGTGGGTTGCTGCAGCCCGTGTCATGCTGGGAAAGAGCAATGCGGTCTCGGTAGGGGCAACGATCAAATCAAGCGAAGCCTCGATTAAACACTCTATCTCCAGCTGTTTGAGAGCCACCACAGTCCACGAGCACAATTACCCCCATCTGGGACATATGGACATAGAGACCCTCACTGGCACA